CTCGTCCATTTTTTTCAAACATTACCTCAACCATTTGTTCTGATGTACGTTGCTAATCGACTACTGAGCTGCACTTATGAAGTCTTTGTTAATTTTCTCGTTACTGCTTACTTATCGTATTACACTAGCCGTGATGCGAAGGATTACGGCCATGGAAAGGCACGATTTATGATTCGCAATTGCCGTAAGGTTTGTTTCTTGATAGTTTCAAAGTCAGGCGGAAGATTAGCGGTATTTTTGTTCAAAGTCTTCATTTAAAGTAGTTTTTGAAGAATTTCTTTAAGGAGCATCCCAGAAACCAGGTACATTTTGTTCGACTACATAGTTAACAGTATTTCCTCTGTTATGTTTGATTTGTTTCCTTATGATTTGGAACTTAATGAACACAAAGTTTCGTTTAATTCGTAGTTTTCATGGTTTTGCCATGCAACAGAATAATGACAAGTGAGATCTATTCATTAAAAAATAATAGTTTTTAAGTCGCAATTCCGAAGATGTATACATGAGGCACTTAGATAGTATATAGTCAAAACTCGTCGTCCGAAGTGAACTCCTCTTCAGAAAGATCCCTAGACGTGCTGGTCGGTTTCAGAGGGATATTGACCTCCTCTTCACGATACCTTATTGCAGTTGATGGATAAGGAATTGCAGAGTGGTGACCGGGAATGATTTCCTAAACGCTTTTGTGATTACAAGGTGAACATTTCTGGTAGAAACACTGAAAAGTAGAGCATACTCAATTCAGTAGTAAGCGCATTCAGATTTGATATTATTCTTTCGTTTCCAAAGTGATTTTATGATAAACGGATAAAAGTAACTGCTAGCTGTGGCTTGGTTCCCTTTTTTGAACGGTGCGGTCTAATCTAGGGTAGTCTTGCTGGTTCTCCCTCCTGTTACAGAATTGCTTCTCACTAGTTCCGTTTGGCTCTCAAATTGTGCTAACTTGTTCACTGTGAAGTTTTCCAGTAGTACGTCGTATTGCGCTTGCCGTTGTATGACCATAAATATCCACATACAGTTCCCGACGACCTAGAATTCGTTTTGCTAAATACGGATATTTTCTGTTAATAATGATGAGACAATTGCCATTGAACTGATTACTCACCGTGCGCAAATACTAGAAGTGTAACACCATTGCAAAGCATGAATGCGACCATTAATGAGATCAATATCTTTTTTTCGATTCCCTTGAGAAATATTGATAAATTATTCATAGGATATTCTGTCAATTTGGTAGCGTCACCTCTGATACCAGAAGAGCAATCACGATAGGTGACACGGTACCAGCCAACTGTGAATAAGCATATAAGTATGATAGCACGAATTGGTTGAACTAAATTAAAAATATCTGTGATTTTCTTCTGGAGGTTGATTTACTTTTATTTCTATCTTTTTTATTATTGATATGGTTCTATTATTATTTATTACTTTTTTTGAAAAAAGTTTCTGCCACGACCGCTCGCTTGAATGGCATCTCGGCAGGTGCGTGGGATAGAATAAGTTTGCTATTCTTTCAAATACTTTTGTTTATTAGGCTCCTCCGTGATGCTATTCAGCCAATGAGCGTGGGCAAAATTTGAGTTTTTTTGTATGAACACAGATTTACCACTCAGCTATTATTCTGGACATGCAAGGTAATGCGTGAGAACAGAGTAAGATGGACGTGTTTTTCAAAAAACTCACTTGAGGCGCTATTGTAGTAGCGCACTTGCTAAATCCCACTTTGTATGCAGACATCGCTCCGACTGCTAGACTTATGAGAAGGGAGATGGCGGTTTTCTGGCCTTCACCCAGCAAAACGGTGGATAAAAAGCACGACGCCGCACCGCAGGTTGCTAAAAGGAGTTTTTATACGAGCAGATACGGTACAGGTTGAACAACGTAACTGTCAGCTAACTTTAGGACACAGAAATAGTCGGAGCATGAGCCTCATGACTTTTCTAGTCCCAGAGGTGACAAGCATTTGCTGATAGATCAACTTTTTTCAGGTGTGCCCGTAAAGATTCGTAAAATTTAACATTTTTAGAAAAGTTTCGTAGCTTCAATTAGTGTGGGAGGGCTGATTAGAAAGTTGCAACGGGAATTAATAATTCTGTGATTTACAGCGAACAGTTCTATATCTACATTGTTTATCCCATTAACCACCAAGCCAGACAAAGGCATATTATAGCGCGGCTAAAAGAGAATCATCTAGCTCTCTCCATTTTGGGCCCCAGAAAACACTCGCTCCCAGGGAATGCTTACTATCCGGAGTAAGTTATCTTAAAGGCAGAGATGATGGTGAGCGTTTTAGTCATCGCAGAAATTCCAGCCATCATTTTCTCAGGCTTTCTAGTTACATCGCAAGCTCGCAGGGCTTATCGAGCCTGATCATCTCGGTGGTGGTTTTCTCTCCAACTCTACCCTGAACAAGATTCTGAAAGCGTAGAGCAACAACATGAATGTAAGAGGGAATAATGGGAGCTGAACTTTGCTTCAATTTCCTATGATCAAATGGAGGCTCGGAAGAGGAGTCTATTGTTCTCATCCATAACATGACGAAAAAAACCTTACCTATGCTGGCGAAAAGCTTAATAGTTGTGGTTGATGAGATCCCTTTCTGTAGCATGAATATAAGAGAAAGATGAAATAATAGTTCTGTTATCGCTTGAAACAAGAAGGGCACTCCAGATGATATTCCATTCTGAAAAGAATTAAGCTCAGATGTTCAGAACGATATCTAATTGGATTTTTGCTGAAGTCATTGAAAATACATATATTGTGTTATAAATTTTTATTAAGTACATCTCTGATTTTAGGTACATCTTTGATGACGATTCTTCTCGATCGTCTGATGCATTTTATCAATCATGACTTCATTAGGGGTTGAAAAAAGTTGGGTAGGAGAACTACAGGCCGATGGCTTTCTTAGCTACGGGAGCGTTTCTCGTTGGTCGGTGTTAGTAAAATCTCGGATGCGCAGACAATAAGGACGGCCCCCAGCTTGGCAAATGTGGAGCTGATTCGCAAAATTTCAGTTTTCATCACCGTTTCTAACGGTTATGATGGAGGGAAGAGTTCAAAGTTTCATTTGCGCCACTGGAGGCGGTCTGTAGGCTCTATTTGCTTGTGTAAGGTCCCTAGCATCATATTTTTTTGAGCAAATCAGGACTTCCGCTCATCATCAGTAGTTCATTCGAAGAGTGTCTGCTAAAAAAAGATTCTATGACTGGTATGAACGTCGGTATTTGCTATTGCAGTGCATAGATTGATCGCTTTCGAATACTGTAAAGGTAGTTCTCGAGGTAATTGGGAGCGGAATGCATGAGACATTCCATGCGGATACGCCACATATTTGACTAGTCCCCGAAACTGTAAATATGTTCTTTGAATGGGAAGAGCTACCCTGATTTGCTATTTATCGTCTATAGTATATAGGAACGAATGAATTTGGATGGGATCGAAGTTATGCAATGGCTTCTTGATATAGCAGATTTTATAGATCTAGGTTACTGGCCTGCAAGATTACTGGTACTTCACTGAAATTGAGGAAGATCCTACCTGGTCAAGACTCATGTGAAGTGCCATGCGGTTGAACATAGGCAAATATGCTGTTAGACCACTAAGGATGAATGAGTGAGTGAAGCAGCATAAACACATTGCAATCACGCATGGAGAGAGGAGAAGCTGTAAATTGTTGTTAACAGTGCCTGTTGGACAATAAACTACTAATACTACTAAGTAACTACTAATAAACTGTACTGCCTGATGTTGTTATTCCCGTTCTTATAGGCGCAACGCAATTGTGCTGAGTTGAACTTATTGTTAGTAGGGCTGAGGAGATGGTTGTTTAATGAAATAAAAGCGTGTTTCTTACAGTCAGTATTGGGCTAGGCGTTTGTACATAAATAAGGGCTGGCTTCCAACACAACAGCTAATTCATCGAAAACTATGCCCTCCTTGGTCCGAACAATAGAAAAAAATCCGAAAAAGTAGTTATTCTGTAGCTCGAGATCATCAATAATTAGGCTCTTGAATTCACCATAGGGAAGAGCATGTTGTAGGTAAGGTTTTCCCAAATAGAAATCCATCTTTTTGAACGACTCATTTCAGAATTCAATACTGGCTTCGATTTCGCCTTTCCGCGGTCTAGAGCATAACTCAAATGCGTTTGGCAGGTGTCTAGATAATCTCATGTCTGTCATCAATTTACACCCTATGTAATGCCAACCCATTTGAGCTAAAATCGAGGGAATTACTTCTAAACCTTGACTCATTTTTTAAGTTATCAATAACAACTGAATAGGAACCGGTTTTAGCGGCGGTTGTTCGGAGAAGTTGCAGAAGGCACTGCGTTTTAGACGGTTCCCTCGAATATGTTCGAGTTCAGATGCTGTGACATAGCTTGAGTACCGCGGTTTGTGAGCAGCATGGAGTTCCCATATCACCAGAAAGCCAAGCGCGATAAATCCTGTAAAAGCAAATATTCATCCTCAAATACTAGTTTTACGTTTTACCAAAGCATGTATTATAATATCGATTTGTTGAGTCGACTAGTTAAGCTGTTGAAGTTCACAAAGGACCTAACCTTTGCTTTTTCTAGCTCTAGGAGCGACTGAGGTTTTCAGCCAACAGCAGAAGTAAATTCATTCTAGCACCACGAGTAAACCATAAAAACTGTACTGCGGCAAAGGCAGTTTATACACGCCAGATTCTAGTGAATCTTATAGTTCGTATAGCTTATATATAAATTTATATAAATATATAAACTATAGGCTATACCTATATTATGGTAACTTTGAGAAACTTGATTCAAATATTTTTTCACTATTTCTAATTTTGTTGCTGGTCGGTTCCTGCACAGGGTGGTGTTTTCTGGAAGCAAAGGGAACTTGAAAAAAAGTTTTCTACTTACCGTATAGTTCAAATGCCACTGGCCAACCTCCCAGAAATTTAGTCTGGCAAAAGATGGATGTGAACGCCATTGAGCATAATATACCAATGTGATCGCCTGAAATTGCTCAATTTCTACGTTACATCTCAGAATTAAGTCAAATGCTGACTAGCCAAGCGCGAACGTAAGCATCGCTGTATTCCGTTCATTTCTTGGGAACCATTTTGCAACAATGGCAAAACCACATGGTGCGATGAGTCCTGAATATTTCATAATTTCGAAATGAAAAGATGAACTGGATGAACTCACCATTTCCCATGCCTATTATGGCTCTAGCAAATGCTAGCAGCCAGTGCGAATGTGAAAGTACCACCAATGGTGTAACAAGGCTGCCAATACCGCATACAAGTAGGCTGCAGGTCAGAATTCGTTTTGCTCGGTATCTTAAAAGTGAACCTCTTTGTGATCGAATTGCACTAAGGGCTTTGAACAGTGAAAGGCAACAATCACGGGGGGGGGGTGGAACCGGGAAAGCAGGGGTTGGTGGGTCGCAGTAATAGCTTTAGAAAGCTGTAAATATCTCGACAAGGCTCAGAGGCTTTGAACATTGTTTCTTTTTGTTCTGGCATGTGTATATACATCTTTGTGAACACGGAATCGAAGAAGTTATTCTCCTGTTCATCTTGGCCTTGATGATGGATAGGTAACTGAAGGTATTTGTTGGGGGAGGTCAAAGTAGTGGTAAAACCAAGGCACGGACATTGAGAGGGAGATAGTAACTGGAGTCAAGAAATAGGGCATAAGGTCATTTCATGGTCGATGAAAACACTTGCATTCGATTGCATTCCAGGATTATCGGCTTTTTCTGTAGCCTATTTATTGAATCTCTTGGGTGACCTATGGCTCCTCAAGGACAGTTACGTCCCTTATGTCTTCGCCCGTTACGGCTGCTTCATTATGAGCAGTTCCCGTGGTTTTGTACAGGAGAAATGTCTAGAATCCCATAAATGATCGAACTCTGAAGTGAGATTGGCT